TCGGTCCAAGGATGGCATCTTCATATGCCAAAGGAAGTATGTACTTGACTTGCTTAAGGAAACTGGAATGCTTGGAGGTAGACCATGTAATACACCTCTAGAACCGGGCCAGAAACTAAGTGAGGATCAAGGGGGAGATCTAGTGGACAGGGGGAGATATCAGAGGTTAGTGGATAAGCTCATATACTTATCCCACCCCCGTCCAGACATTACCATTGTTGTAAGCATGGTTAGCCAGTTTATGCATGTTCCAAGAAATTCCCACTTAGAGGCAGTTATGAGAATCCTGAGATACCTGAAGGCTTCTCTTGGAAAGGGTCTCTATTTTTCAAAATATGGACATCTCAGTGTGAAGGCATTCACTAATGCGGATTGGGCTAGATTCGTCACTGATAGACGATCAACTTCTGGATATTGCACATTTGTTGGAGGCAACCTCGTCACTTGGCAAAGTAAGAAACAGAATGTGGTTGCTAGATCTAGTGCTGAGGTAGAATTCAGGGCTATGGTTCATGGTGTATGTTTGTTGCTATGGATTAGACTATTAGTGGGAGATTTGGGGATCCATCAAATCGATTCCATGAGATTGTATTGTGACAACAAAGCCGCAATCAACATAGCTCATAATCCAATTCAACATGACAGGACTAAGCATGTGGAGATTGATAGGCACTTCATCAAGGAAAAACTCACTAGTGTCACCATATGTATTCCATTTGTGAAGACTGTGGACCAACTAGCAGATGTTCTCATCAAGGGCATAGGAAACAAACCATTTCATGGCATTCTCAACAAGCTGGGCATAAGAGATGTCTTCGCACCAGCTTGAGGGGGAGTGTTAGAATAGGAAAGAATATTTGTTATATTTTATTCTTTCTGTATTTATTTTTCCCTTTACTGATGTAATGTGCTGGCCCATAATTTATGCCTTATGGCACTCCTATAATTACTCAGTATTATCAATATAAAAGGGAATGAGGTCTAACCTATTCTGTATCACTAGCTCTTATCTAAAATCTTAGATCCGAACCGTTCATCTTGTAGGGCCCTCCGTGAATATCGTCTATAAAAACAAAAAATAAAAAAAGGTACGATTATTGGATCGACTTAATTTTTTTCATGGATGATTTACACGAAAGGCCCTAAAAAATGAACATCGAGATGGGACCCATTGTGGGTCCTACCACTCAAGTTCAAAACTTGAGAGAAGCCCAACACTTTGTATTCTTGTTGAATGAAACATTCTTGCTTGTTTTAGGGAATTAATTTGTCATCTGCTCGCTTGTTTTAGGGAATTAATTTGTCGTCTGCATTTTTATTGGCATGTGTTTTGGTCCATGAATTTGAGCCTATCATTCTTGTGTAAATTTCATTGTCTAATAGAGTTTATTTAATTCTGTCAGCTTCATCCTAGTTCTATATCCATTGAAGGCACATTAGGAAATTTCAGGCTCTGTGATATGTCTCTTGGAATGGATCACTATTGGGGGTGGCTTTGTGATATACGCAATCAGGGGGTTGAATCTCTTATCAAGGTACCTTTTAATTAGTTTGATTAGAAGCTGATGCCTAACAGGCTTCTTATCTATTTTTTATATTTATATTTTGTCATTTTTTTTTTGCATTGTTCTAATATTGCTCTCTCTCTCTCTCTCTCTCTCAGTTTACTTTCAATTCTTATAGTGCTGAAGATGACGATTATGAAGGATATGATTAAAGCTTGCAAGGCCAAGTTTCTGTAGTTCGCATTGTCTTCCTCAATGGGTTTGTTCAGGAGGTAAGTCTAATTGATGCTGTTAAAAATGGAAACTCTTCTTAATGTTAATATTGGTGAAGCTGCTGGTGCATATATAGTATTGGTAATTAGTGAACTAATCAAATTTCTTGTTCATTTACTTCATACTAAGTAGCATAGACATGGGGCACGTGACAAGATATGGACACGACACTGACATGCCGACACGTCAATTTTTAAAAAAATGCACCACACGACACGTCTAGGACACATTACAAATTTATATTTTTATAAATTTATTATAAATGATATATACAAATAGTTTATTGAGAGGTAATCAAAAAAATAAACAACATAACACTAATTAAAATTAGATTAAATAACAAAATATCATTCATGTAACAATTACAATATAAAGAATGAAAAATAATTATAGAACATAAAAATGCACATAATGTATTTATCTTATAAAGTGTTTCAAAACATATTAGAGTGAATAAGTTGCATTCCAAAGAATACATAACATTATTACTATGAATTGATTCATCACATATGTTGTGTCTGGAGGTTTTAAGAAGTGTCTATAAAGTGTCTGATATTAGGAGTTTACATTTTTAATTAAGACACATTGAAGAAGTGTCGGACTCGCTTTGTTAGAGTGTCCACAGAGTGTCGTGTCTAACACGGGTGTCCGACACCACACGCCTCCTCTATAGTTGTGTCCGTACTTTTTAGACTTCATATAACTGGTTTTTTTCATTGTTGGTGTTAGTTGAACTGATTTTGTTTTTGTTACTTCTTGGGTTCAATTCTTGTTTTAGTGTTGTGAATTTCTAACATAAGATGTTGATACATGCTTCTGCAGATAACTACCTACTTTATGGAACTTGCAACCCCGCATATTGAAGAAGCAATTAAACTTGTTGATAAAGTTGGAGGCTTTGAGTGGCTGATTAATAAATATGAGATTGATGGATCCTCGGCATTGAAGCTAGACCTTTCACTCGATACTCCAATAATAATCGTACCAAGAAATTCCATGAGTAAAGAGTCTGTATTTCTCAAAGAAATTCACGTCATTTAGTATTCAGTTGGTTAATTTAGTTCTTAGTTTTTTTGGCAGCAAAGGAATAATAAGTTTGCGCAGATAAGGTGATATATAGAATTTTATTGATCTTGAAAAGTTTTTTTTTTTTGATAAATAATTTAAAGGATAAGGATAAATAATTTCATGCATACTCACTTTGTGTCAGAACACACTTCCTTGTGTACTTGTGTTCTCTTCTTACCTTTATCCTTTTGGGACATGTGTCGTGCTGGGTCCAAAAATTACATAAAATTATCTAACTGGATGTTTTCTATAAAAACATATTTGAATGCTTTGTGGGATGGGAATAATAGACATTATATGAGACTTATGCTGGTTTGGTATCTAAATAGTTCTGACATGTCTCTTAAATGTAGTCATTTTTGTTTTTCTTCTTCTTCCTCTTCTTCTCCAAATTATTATTTTTTGCTTAATGATTCCTGGAATTTGTTCTGTTTTACTGTCTTGTTGCTCCCATCAATTGAGATGCTCTTTCAATTTGTTCAGGTTGACTTTTGGTTATAGTTGCCCTTTTCTTTTGTTACTTTCAAAAACTAGTCACAATCATAATGTGGAAAAAGTATTGTTTTCCTAGTAGTATATAGCTCGTAGTTGTAGTAACCTCCTACTAGGGGTGACAAATCTGCTCTAGAATTGTGTTTCAGAGTAAGAATCAAGTTAGAATCTCGTTCCCATCAAGAAAGAACCACGTTCTCAACTGTGATGAAACTTCTCGAACATATGAATCCCAAAGAAACAAAAAGAACAGTTATTAAGCAAGAGAAAATGTATTGCAACCATTAGAAGGAAAAAATTAACTTAAATTTATACTACTACTGTGTATTTACAATTTATTTATTTTTTATTTTCTATATTTACAATAATTACAATTTTCAGTTGAAAACTTGACAAGATTCTCCAATATTTATTCATAATTTCACATATTTAGTACAACTAAGCAAAAAAAAAATTCTTACAATATACTAATATATTTAGGCATTCCCAACCTTGGACACCTTTATGAGCCGTCGCTCCCCCATCTCCGCCCCCACCCTGTCCCTACTTCTGTTTTGTGCAACTGAGATATATCTTTAATATTAAGTATTACTAGGTATTGATTCACTTTTTTGTATTTATTGTTGCAGTTTCATGCAACTTGATCTGGGCCAGCTGCAAATGAGAAATAAATTTAGTTGGCATGGATGCCCAGAGAAAGATCCTTCAGCCGTCCATCTTGATGTTCTTGATGCAGAGGTATTTCTTTATGTTTGAAGTCTTGGTTCAGACATTAAACTTGAAGTAGTGAAGTAATGTTAACTTCAGCTATAATATTGCAGATTTTGGGAATCAACATGGCCGTAGGAATCAATGGTTGTATTGGTAAGCCAATGATACGGGACGAACAAGGAATTAATGTTTATGTACAGCGTAGTTTGAAGGATGTCTTTTGGAAAGTTCCAACATTTTCATTAGGAGTTAATGTATTTTCGGTGACGAGAGATCTACTTCTTATTTTGCCATTCTTTCTTTTTCCATCGTTTGGATTTAGCAATCTTTATGATTTGGGGCATTTGCATGGATGCATGGGTTTCTATTTTGTTCCTTGGCATGGACTCTTATCATTGACTTCTCATGTGCATATTAGCAAGAAATGCAAGAACATCAATTTAAACTCTCTGACCCCTACATTTATCCTCACATTTACATGCGTCCTTAGTTTAGATGTATAATAAGTGGATACAAGATTTTACTTTGTTGGACAATGCCTACCCTGGAATTGACATGGACACACATGTTTAATTTACTATCTCAACATGTGCTTGGAATGTATGGCATCTCTGCAGATGGCTGTAAGTGATGTAGTTAGAATTAGTATGGTCGTTATGTTTTAGTACCATAAGAGTTAGAGTTACTTGGGTCTTTTATCCTATAAATAGGTCGTTAAGCCCCTTTAGTATTTAGTTAATGATATTTTGATATTTAATATTTCAGAGCTTGAGAGCTCTTGTACCCATTTTGGGATTCTCTCTCTCTAAAGAAGTCTCTTTCTTGATTTGGTTCCACCAGTAAGTGAAGGTAGAAATAGAAATGGAGACAAAGTGAGGTCTGTCAATTTGAAGTGATAGAGAAAGGAGATGAGTGTTCTTTTATTTGATGAGTATTCAATATAAGAAAGAAATGCGGCAGAGGAAGAAGAAAATGACCTTCATGAATGTATTCTTCCATGAAAATGACATTCAAGAATATGTTCTTTTATTCTTCCATGGAACATCTGCTCCAAACCCATCTTCTTCTTCTTTTCAATTTGAAGTGGTAGCAATCTTATATATATATATATATATAATTTTTATTTTTAAAGAAGAACATTTTTAGCCAATTAAACCTTGCTCCTAGGAGGAACGTGCAGTGTCAGCAAATGCCTCCCAGTTAGCACAGCTAGAACACACTCACTGAGACAAACAGGGTGGGAGCTGGCCGACCAGTTCAAGTGGTCGGCCGACCACTTGACCTGGTCGGCTGACCAGGTCAAAGGGTTCAAGGTGTTCGGCCATCCCCTATGATGAAGCCCCAGAAGTTATCTTTTCAATGGCGCAAACCTTGCATTAAAATTTCATCTGTGCAAAACGTTATGCCTATTTTGGTGAAGCCGCGCAGATTCGGTCCAACCGGATAGATGCCCTACTTCAACTAACCATATCTCCCACGTCCGGACTTGGTTTTAGGAGATTCTTGAGTGTAAAATGAAGGCCTGGAAGTCTTCTTCCAAACGGTGGTGGCCTCATAGCTTAAATCCAAGTGTATAGACAGATAAGCCTGATTTAGCGAGGACCGCTCAACTCTCTCTTAGCGATTCATGTCCACCTTCTTCTTCAACTTGGTTTCTTCCCTCTTCTCCAATTTTCCTCAAATCCAAACCCCTAAGTAAGGTGTTTTGAAAGATTTTTCAAAGATTTCATCTCTCTTTCATTCATTTCTACTTTGCCCTTGCTCGATTTACCGAAAAGCGCAACATTTAACGAAATGCGAGCGTCGAAACATCGTCGGAACTTTATTTTCAAAACATTTTGAAAGAGAGGGTTTCAAGGTCTAAAATCTTTTGATCAGGATTGTTTTGGTCCAAAAAGGGATATGAAGTTGAGGTTTGACTCTCTCCTTGTCGACGAAACTGAACCTTTTCCCTGTACATCTTTCTCCACCGAGTAAACCATCAGTAGTGCCCAAGTCTTAAGGGCGGTCAAAAATGGGGTGTCTACAGTTGCCCCTCTTTGACAGAACTCGGAAGTCAAGAAGTGACAGGAGTGAATCTTAAAGCCCAGAGACGACCCATTTTTGACAAGGCCGAAGACTTGGACAAAAAAAGTACAGATAAATAAATGGTTGCGCCCGTAGGCTGCCTACGTATCCCTTTGTAAGGAATCAAACCAGCGTAGTTCAGGGGCAGGATGCAAAATGTTATGTAGGAAGATTTTGATAATTGGACTTATACGCTACGCGAAGCCGATTTGATAATTGGACTTATACGCTACACAAAGCCAGTTTGATAATTCAGGATTTGTGCAATGCACTGTAATGACTAAAATGCAATGTGATAGCTAGGAAAAGGGAGGTACCTTATAGGGGCAATTGGGAATGACTTACCTCGGCAATGTCCTACCTCATGCTGATGTGGGAATCTTCCTCTTCTGTATCTTGTATTTCCAAACCGTAGGTACTACTTTTCTCCCTGGCTATGGTCGCAGCTTTCCCTATTCTCCAACAGGGTGACAGACTAGGTCGATTCGGTATCCAGAATTGAGGCGCATACACATGTTATCTCAATCTATGGGGCTGCTATACAGATTTCAAGCCGAGGATATACCCTTGGGTATTTAAACCAGACTTTAGTTTCGAAAATCCTGGACCTTTGCGTTCTAGGCACGACCCATTTGAACTCTAGTTTCCACCGTCTCAGTTGGTCTCCTAGGAACTCACCGTAAACACAGGTAGGTGGCTATACTAGACCACTGGAAGTCGTTCGGGGACGACAAACACCAAAGGAATTGCACCTTTAGAGGATTTCAGGTCTCCTAGACCAAAGAGTGCACAAGATAGTGCGAATAGAGATGCAGGATTTAAGGTCTCCTAGACCAGAGGATTTAAGGTCTCCCGGACCAGGGAGTGCACAAGACAGTGCAGATGATACAAAAATACAATGTGCACAAGACAGTGTGATACAGAGTGAATGCACAAAACAGTGCTAAACAGATGCACAAAATAGTGCGATGCTAAAGGTGTACAAAACAGTACGAGCAGGGTGAATGCACAAAATCAGTGCGATATAGATAAGGTGCGCAAGATAACGCGATACAATGCACTAACAAGTGCAGGTAAGGTGCGCAAGATAGCGCGATGTGATATGCAAAGCACGAGACAGTGCGATTGAGGTGCGCAAAATAGCGCGAATGAATGTAATACATAGGACAGTGCGATGCACAAAATAGCGCGAATGTAAACTGCACAAAATAGTGCGATTGAGGTGCGCAAAATAGCGCGAATGATAAACTGCACAAAACAGTGCAATGCGCAAAATAGCGATGTAAACTGCACAAAACAGTGCGATACGCTAAACAGCGCGATTGATTTGAAATGCACTAACAGTGCGATACTCTAAGCAGCGCGAGTGATTTCAAATGCACTAAATAGTACGATACGCTAAACAGCGCGAGTGATTTGAAATGTACTAAATAGTGCGATACGCTAAACAGCGCGAGTGATTTGAAATGCACTAAACAGTGCGACATGCTGAACAGCGCGAGTGATTTGAAATGCACTAAACAGTACGATACGCTAAACAGCGCGAGTGATTTGAAATGCACTAAACAATGCGATACGCTAAACAGCGCGAGTGATTGAAATGCACTAAACAGTGCGATACGCTAAACAGCGCGAGTGATTTGATGCACTAAACAATACGATACGCTAAACAGCGCGAGTGATTTGAAATGCACTAAACAGTGCGATACGCTAAACCGAGCGAGTGATTTGAAATGCACTAAACAATGCGATACGCTAAACAGCGCGAGTGATATGCAATGCACAAGATAGTGTGAGTGAGATACAACCACAAGATGCACAAGACAGTGCTAGTGAGATACAAAGTGTAAGTGCACAAGACAGTGCGATAAAATGCATCTTCTATGCAAGTATGGGGGCATTTTCTACCCAACAGATACGAGCATTTTCTATGCAAGTATGGAAGCACATTCTATGCAATATTGAAAGCATATTCTATGTATGAGACAAGCAAAGCATATTCTATGCGGAATCGAAATCAAGCATATTCTATGCATAAATCATAACGATGCGCGGCACGCATGCAACAATAGTGTATATGAAAGTGCACATTCTATGCAATAGAGGGGCATCAAACATGTACTCTGGTGCCTCCGATTTAACTCTCAGAGGGCTTTGCAACACACTCAGCTCGAAAAGGGTACACCCCGTTTTGGTGCTCTGATTTGCCTCTTAGAGGACTTCGCAACACACTCAGCTCAAAAGGGGACACCCTGTTTATGTTGGCAAGAGATAACATCTGTATGTGAAAACCACATGTGCTGCTTAGACCGCCATTTTGACTTGAAGTAGGCTTACACTTGAGGTAGAGGCGCAATCATACTTTGGTAGCATTAACAAGGCCTGAGGAGGTGCATATGGAATGCAATCTCGAAATTTTCTGAAGGTGAAACATGCTAAGATGCTCCAAATTTTCCATCTTTTCTTTTGCTTTGCAGTTCGGACCCTAAATAGTTTCAGATAGATCCTTGTTTTACTATTTTGACATGACCTGGGTTGAACCCTGCTGCTTTATGAAAGAACCAATCATGTTTTGCACAAATGTGGAGAACGACACGGCACTCTGAGCACAAAACGATTTTTGAAATTGAAATGAGAAAAGGATTCTCAACCCGGTATTGAGCCTACAACTGACCACAGCCAAAACGACTCAACAACGGAAAACAAAGGTAGAACAACCAAAACACAACTCAACAAAGAAAAAACAAGGTAAAATGACCTAAACATCTGTTGACACTCAAACAACTCAAAACAAAAATCGAGACAAACAAAAACGCACAAACACAATACTCAGCTGTGTTGCAAAGGCAAGAGACCTCTCGGTGCAGGAGGAGCCAGTTTCTCCGGGTATTGTTTCCCACCATTTCTTATTTGTGATTCTCACATCACTCGGCCCTCAGGCTCGGCTTTTCTCACAAAACCCTTTTCCTCACTTTTTCTCTCAGCTCACATCTCTCTATTCTTTAATCTCTCATTTTTTATCCCTCCCCTAAGTGGCTGATGGATAAACAAAAAGTTGCGGGCTCTTGCCCCTAGCACTCAGCTAGATTCTTCTTTTTCTGCGCATAGCTAGTGAGTTCCTCCCACATAGGGGTTGTGCTGCAACTGAGCGTGTAGCGAATCTGCAGCTGACATCGGCTGTCGATGCTCTGCCGAGGAGTTTGAACGTGGTTAGATCTGTCCAAATGAGGGAGTGGAAAATCTTGATCCATTCCAATTCATGCTTTGTACATGGCCTAATACCTCGTTGCTTGGAGGATGAGAAAGCTTTCAGCCCTTTACTGACAGCTTCAGCTGTGCCCTTTTTGGTAGGTGGAGTGCTCTTCTTGGCAAGTATATTGACAATGGGGAAAAGGCAGAATACCTGACTCAACTGTGCCCCTAGTTCATCATTTTGACCATTTTTTGTTTTGGTTTTCTACTAAAACAATTTTGACCAACATGAGAGTTAGATTAACATACTTGTTCAATTTTTGATTTAAAATCATGCAAGTCAGATTATGAGCACTGAAAATTTTCCTTTTTTGGGTCCAAGAAATGGTCCAGTTTTGAAAAATGAAATAATTTTCGAGAAAATTAGTCAACCTCAGTAAAAATTCTCAAAAACTATTTTTGCAAATGGCCACTGCTGGACGAGCACGAAACTTACTCTCGAGATGCACAACCTCAGATCCAAAACAATGGAAAACTGCCCCTTGTCTGAAGGACACTGCATGGCAACGGAAATTTGCCCCCTATTTGAATGGCACCGCGGCGCATTGAATGCCAACGGAAAGTTGCCCCTTGTTTGAATAGCACCGCAGCGCATTGTAGTCCAAACCCTCATATAGTTTGGCCACAACCAAATTCTCGGATATAGAGAAGACAAAGACCAGAACCGTCACATGGACACAATCCAATTTGAAGTGTTTTACGGCTGGACTTCAGAATGAAGTTGCCTACGTATCCCAAAGATGGGAATCAAGCCTTACATAGTTCGG